AGCAGGAATCACAGATGCTTCCTGAGCAATAGGTCCAACTTTACCTGCCAACAACAAGATATCCATCACTCATCAGAAGGCTAGAGAGTTAAAAACCCAGTTTCTGCCAATAATGTTTCCTTCTTTCTAAAGCAATTGTTTTACAGCCCAGAATGTTTGTGACTCAAAAATGAGTCAGAGGAATTGTTAAACTGGGTATTGCTAGAACTATCTGGTCTGGCTACAACAATGGAGACGACTAGCTTTTGCAATGGAAAAATTGATACTAAGCTGTTAGTGAATAATCTGCCCATTAAAGAATTTTCTCTTCAGTCGCAACAGCAAGTGTCTAAGCCCTGATAAATGAAGAAGGTCTTCAAAATTCTTCAAGCACGTGGAGACTATAACTCCAGGTATTTTTATAATTCATATTCTTGGCTAACTCATTTCTTAATCTTTTCAAACTCTTAATTTCTATAACAGTGCACAGCAAGGAGTTCCACAGGCTTATTCTGCTCTGTGAGCACAAGAAAATCTAGGAATAAGACTCCTGAGTATGCAGGAAAATGGAAACAAATTATCTGCGGGACAAGGATCACCCCAGGCTTACTGTGGGGTTAAAAGGAACTGATACCTGTTTTTCAACACTGAGAAGTATTAAAGATTATTTTTTCAGTCTTCACTGCCAGCACCAGTATTGCTCCAGCAATATTATTAAATACTAGGTAGGGATCAAACCAGTGCTTTGTGATCTTGGACTCGTAAGCTAAGGTGGTGAGATTCTGGTGGGGCTAGGTATTCCTCTTCATGCAGCCTAGCACATGCCCATCATCCTCACAAAGGATGGAGGAATACAGATAACGCTCCTCGTATGGCTTTAGAAAAGGCCTCCTCCATCCATCTTGTTTGAAAAACTTCAAGATTACTGTCTTCAAACAGATAGCTTGGAATGGGGCTTCACACAATGCAGCTCTAAACAGATGCAGCTCTCATTTCTCAAGACATGCTTCACAAGTCTCTCAACGTTGTGCTCTCTCCATCCATTCTCATGCTTCATTAGTCTGTGCGTGGCATGTGGCAGGCATGATGAGGCTGCTGTGCTCCAGCACAAGAACAGAGGCCACATGGGGACTTAAGCAATGTTAAGTACAAGGAGCTTGATCTTGTTTGCACTGAAATCAATGGAAAATGTCCATCAGCTCCATTAGTCACACTCCTGAGCAAAGCCAAAGAAATTCCCTATCTCCACTCAGGAAGTTTCTCGTCTTTTAAAAAACCTGGCTCACTGGTAGTTCTTGCAGGAGGCAACCTATACTTAGGAATACTGGAGGAAATATACTATCCATTAAAAACAGGTTGCAGCTCTACATACACAACAGATTTTTCAGAAGTATCTAAGGTGATGTAGGAATTTAAGTGTTACTGAAAATTTGATTTTGGAAATGAATTTTCACATTTTGGGAGACTTCCTTCTTTGTAATAAGCATAAGTGAATCTAAAAGTCATTTGCATGCTCTCAACAGTGCAAGGTAAAATAAAACCCAAAACCGGTGGCTCATGCCTATTCGAGGGAAGATAGGTTTGGTATAAACCTCACCATGCTTAGGGTGAAGCAGGAGACAGAAGAAACAAGCTAAGTAATCTTCCCTTGGTTATGACATGGGCTGCTACACAGCAGTAACAAAACAGTCACAGTCAGTAAAGTAAGGATCTGATTTCTTGGAATTCTCTTCCAAACTTAGCTGATCTTGAACTGTCCTGGCTCTTGCTGTTGTGTGCAGGATGCATGCATTGCACAGAAAACCGCAACCATCCATCAAGAAAACTGCTAACAACATCAGCCAAAAAGCATGATCCAAGTTAGTAAGTCCTCTGGATATTAAATCTACATCCTTTCCACCACCAGCACCTTCAACTGGCTGTGCTAATGGGAACCAAATCAGAGAAGGGGAAAGTTTACATTTGGGGTTCCCAATTTCCTACTCCTGTGCCGACAGTGCTGAACATTTCCTAAACAATACAGCATGGTTTTCTGAGCAGTAGAGGAGTAGTGTTTTCCTTAAACAAAAGCACTGGTCAGAGCTCTTTGTGATATTCAAGGAGCGGAAGACTAGAATATGCCTATAAATGCTATCCCTGGAGGGGAGGAAGCAGTCATTGGATGCCAGGAAACTAGGCCAATTCTTGGGAAGAGGTGGTGCAGAACTTGTAATTCTGCTGCAAGGACCACAAGTGGTGTAAATTCTAGGAAACGAGTAGCTGAGTGCTTTGTGGAGCTCTGAATTTTGACTGAAGGCTGCTGGGCTTCCAAGGTTTAGATGAGTCAACACACAAAAATCCAATCTGTACCAGACTCTCAAAGGAAGACCTTCTAATCTGAGCAAAAATCTTGTCCTGTTTACATTTCATGTCTCACTTCGCACCTAAAACCGTAAGACAAAGCTGGCCTGTAACAGAATCCTTTTTGCCTGTTTACATTTCATCTCTCACTTCGCACCTAAAACCGTAAAGCTGGCCTGTAACAGAATCCTTTTTAAAAACTATTGTATTTTAATCACACACACAAGTTAGGCCTGGCAACTGACATCAGAGCCTCTCTGTGCACATCCTCAGCTTGTCAGCTACCTGTAGTAAGGGAGGAAGCTTATTTCTTAGCACCTGCAGATTCAAAAACAGGTAACAGCTCTATAAACAGCTACTACAGCGAGCAGGCACAGAGGTACCCCTTAATATCTCTAATACAACAATTCTGGATGCTGGTGGATCTTAAGGGGAAAGCGGCCAGGTGCATGCACTCTCTCTAGACAGCATCTCTTACTGACAGCATCAGCAACAGGAACCTGGAACAGAAAAGCCACTGCTCTGACACAGCGGGGCATTTCTTATCTTCTTAGGCAGTATCTGAAATCAATAGCTTTCAGCTAGCACAATATGCTTTTACAGCTGAAGAACTGGCTTATCTATATCTAGCTAGAGTGTGTCCCTGAGGTTTGGCACCACACTGAGTAATGAGGGAGGGATAAGCTGCAGCCCAGCAGTAGCCCTGGAAGAGGTGTGTGAGTCACGAGTCTGAGTCACATTCTTCCTCTGCATCTTTCTTACAGAGAATCACAGCTAACAGGGCTGCAGAGGGGCCATTGAGCCTCTGTGTTCACCTGAGGGTGGAACTGACTCTACCTAAATTATTCTTGATACATGTTTATCTATTAAGCATATTCAGCAATGGAAACAGCACACACTCTGTAAGCAATCTATGCTATTCCACACTTCACCACTCTTATTGTTAGAATTTCCTAATGTCTAAGTTAAATGTCCATTTATTATTATTATTAAATGTGCATTTTAAGCTCATACAGAGCATAAAGACTAGTCTTGTCCTGTGCAGCAAATTAAGTTGTCTTCTCTAGACTAAACAAGTCCACTCCCATCAGTATTTCCTGACTGACTGGAGGTTTAGAAGAGGTTTTTTGCTGCTCTCTTCTGGACATTCTCCAACTTCAGCTGCTATTCTTCAGTACTGACCTTTGCCAGTAATAAATCACCATACTGTTTATATGCCATTCCGTGAACTGGCAGTGGAGATAAAAGTTTCTCACTTGCTTTCTCTGCTGAGTGAGCAAGCCAATACATTGACTTATATGCAAACTATAGTCTGAACAGGCCTTACATAAAGCGAGCTGATTATCAAAAAGGTAGCTATCTCCCCCCGTTATCTGCCACCCACACCATTTACTGGTGTAAATTGCAGCCACTATGTGAAGATGTAAAGAAAGAGAATACCTGCTGCAGCAGACACACTGGTCTTCATTTGCATTTTCTTGTCCTGAGAGCTCAAGCTGGAAGGCATATTTTTCTTCAGTATGTTCTCACTAGCACAGATCCCTTGCTACAAAAGGAGGAGAGAAGAAAAGAATGCACCGAAGAAACCCACTAGCCACTGGCACTCATAAAGCTCGCCCTGGCAACATCTCTAAACCTGACTGTGGAAATGTACCAAAAGCCAAACAAGGATGGCTGGGGACATCCTATGGGAGGGAGGGAGAAGGTAAGAAGGAAGACAGCTGCTACAAATACAGGTCTGGAGGTCACTAAGGGAGAGGAACTTAGTGCAGCTCAAAGCAGCTCTTGGGCTACATAAATACATTCTGGGCAATAGACAAGCTCTGAATAGGTTCGCATTTGAGTAGTGTAAAGGAACATATCGGAGGATCTAGCTCTGAAACTAACCACTGTGACAGTATAGTCACACATGTATTTGCTCACTTGCCGGTCCTGAAAATCTCTCTTTGAGTAGTGCTCACAACATGCCTCCCATTAAGATGATATTTAACAGTTTGCAAAAGTACCCAGGCAATCTGGTGCGGGATTCACACCCATGCAACATTACTTGGTACTTTACCTCCTCTTGATCCACTTTGGTCAAAGCTTTGTCTTCGGCTTTATGTTCTTTGGCAAGAGGGTGGTCCTGGAAACCCTTTTGTTTTAGTTTTGCCATGGAGACCCAGGCTGGTTCAGAGGAAGCAGTTTCCAAATGTGGAGAGGAGACTTTTTCTACAAAAGAAGTATTTTTGAAGTAAAGAAGGGATTTAGGTCAAGTCAGTCTGAAGCTAGTGTTTTGTGTTTTAAATCCTTCAGCATCTGTAATACCCTTTGAACACTACAGAGATAAAATTATCTTCCCTGATGATTTTGTCTTGGCAATAACTGTTTTTCTGTTTATTCTGGAGTTTTTGACCTGACTCTGCTTCCACTTAAGTCAATGGCAGAACTCCCACTGAGATCATTGTAAACCGGATTTTGCCTTTGAAACAACATCCTTACATTGCTGATTAAATGGGTATGATAACGATTATTTTTTTATATAGGCAGTAAAATACAGGCTGCATTTTCACTTTTTAAATATTTTAAAAGAAGTGACTGTGGAAAAAAAATAATCACACCTAACGCAACTCCTAGTTAAGGTTTGAGCTGCTGCAATCTGGAAAATTAACTACAAAACAGCAGCATGTTTTAAAAAGCTGTGTTGAAACTCCAACTGTATGAATAAGTAGGTCGTACCAGAAATGTTTCAGAGGCCCTTAAGCTATTACTCTGTTGTTATTCTTGCTGGAACACACCCCTCATTAAGATAAGCCAAGAATTCTCTTGACTGGCCAAATCATCAAGCCAATTAAATTATGGTGCTGACGAACTCAAGGCTGAATTTGGTCCTCATCAAAAGGATTTTTATCTTTTGTTTGCACTCCGCCAAGGTTTTCTACATGACCACTGTTTTCTACAATGTTTGGATAAAAATACAGCATAAATACCTGAAGGTTTATGACCATTTTGCTTCTTTGCCACTTCTTCTGATCTTGTCTTGGGAGGATTTTTGTCTTCTAGGAGATCTCTTTTATTAACAAATGATTTTGTGCTGACAGGAAGGCCTGGAGGGGGCTTCCCAGTGCCCACCGATTTCTGATCCTCTTTAACTGAAGCAGAAGCAGCAGTGGGAACAGCTGAGGGGATCAGCTTTGGATACTCAGCATGGCTTTCATTTTGGTATTTTAGTAAAGAAGATGTTCTCCTTAGTCTGACCCCAAATGGGCTTTCAACGTTTTGTGCTTCATGGTCAGCCCACTCCATACAAGAATTCAAATGCAAATCACTGTCCTTAACATCTCGATCAAATCTATCTGAGCTTTTTTTTGCCGATTCCTGGATGACTGCATCAAAACGGGTGTGTTCTTTTGTCATTCCCTCAAACAACTCTGGTCTTATAGGGGATGTTGGCGAACTTCTGGTATAGGAATCTTCCTTTGAATTTGAACCCCCTGAGAGAGATCTTTGCCATGCTGGTGCAATGGTAAATCTGACTGGTTTAGCAGAAGCAGTCTTCAGTGGATTTTTTACATTTTCATCTGAAGATCGACTGTCTTCCACTGTTTTTCTGTGAGAAGCTGTACTACTTATCTGGTAGTCCTTACCGTCATTATCAGAAGAGATATTAGTCTTCAAGCCAGCCAAACTTGAAGAGGCAAGATATCCAATGGAAAGTTTTTCAGAAATGTGTGACGTGTTGGCCTGTTGACTGCCTTCGTTACCCTTCGAAACAGAAACAGTTTCTGCTTTAAAACATACTTCCAGTTTACTGGGAGGTAGCGTGCAACCTGCTTCTGAGACAGATGCAGCAGTGTCTAATTTTTTTTCTGCATTGCCTCTGGATGACTGAAGTTCCATTATTTCACAAGTTTCTTTGTCATTTCTTGTTACTGAACTGTTTTCAGGCTTCAAAACAGCAACTGTCTTGATATCAGAAGACTCTGAATCGGCTACCACAAACTGCGAAGTGCTTGGTGCAGTATCTGAGACAGTGCAGTTAGAATGACTCTCAATAGTACCCAAGCAAGCTTCTACTTTGCCAATAAACAGTGGATCCCCCTTGTCCTGGTCTTTGATGTTTGGGTCCGCAGAATTTACTGACAACCTTTGTGCAACACCTGCCAATATATCTATGCCCTCTGTTTCCACACCATTGCTAAACAAGCCAGCTGCTAGTATGCCTGGAAACACAACAGCTTCTCTTTCAATTTGCTCCAATTTTGGAAGTGCAGATACTTCAGTATTGTTGTTTTGCTGATGTAATTTCAATTCATCAGCAGACTCATCTGAACAGTACGACACTTTTGCACTGTGGTGTTCCTCCAGGTGCACTGCGGAAGGCTCAGGTCTCAGAAGGGGTGCAGCTGCTTCATAGTGATGGTCCATGTCTGGAAGGCATGCATCCTCTTGCAGCAAAGCACAAGAGTTTTCTGGCACAAGTGTGGAGTCACAAGAGTCACGGACACCATCAGTGGGATTTTTTACACCTGGTGTCTCATTAGAACTGTCTCCGTTTGCACAATGTCTCACCTGGGCTGATAGTCCTATATTAAACAGAGGAGAAGACTGTGCACTTAAAGGTTGCAATTCAAGCACCATCTGTATCAGTAATTCATTCCAGACAGTGCAGTCATTTAGCATGAGTTCCCCATGTCTGGGCCCCATTGTGTGATAAATAAAGCTGTTTAAAGTGTATTTAGAAATGGGCTGTCCAAGTGAGAGAACTAATAAAGTTTTTGTTTGAACATCCCTAGTCCCAGAAATGACTGAAAGTTTTTGTCTGCTTATGGTGTATCAAATCAGCTGCCGTTTACTTCTTTTCTGTGCATACCCCTAGTTGTAAGACTACTAGCCAGATTTCCCTAGACATTTCTTCATGTGGATGCCTAGAAAGGCTGTCTAGAATCTGGAGGATTTTCTGGTCTTAAGCAGAACATCTCAGCATCAGGTATCTCTGCCTCCTGCAGCTCCAGCAGGGCTGCTGAACATCTGGATAGCTTAGATGTTCACAACTGCACACATAGTAACTCTGATGTGTGACAACATCAGGTCCTGAGTCTGCCCTGACACCAAAGTTCCAACATTCCCACTACACTATAGCATTACCATCAGCCAGTGCATTTGTAATACAGTGCTAAAGAGAAAAGTCTGCGGTGCTGTTTTGGAGAAATATCATTTGGTTTTACAATTTACAATTACCGTTGTGTTACCACTGGCAATTAGCTATTATTCAAATGATAAGGGGGGAGGTGACAAAGGAAGATCTAGTAAACACAAGCCAATTAAAGTTACCTTACGCACATAACAGATATAATGCTAAGGTTAAGGTTTTTCTGAGTTTCAAGGAACTTGGATCCCCAGTCAACGAGATCTAGGCAACTGCGTAGCACAGGTACTTCTGAGCATGGTACTTTTACCTCATGTATTTTTTAATGCTGCCCTCAAAGTTCACCATTTCAGCACTACTGTGTTGTCTGGAGTACATGACTTTTTCCATCATAACACTTTAGCAGCCAGGATGTGTTTTATGATATAAAACCAAAAGATGCCTAGTTTGAAAGGACTTACAATTCAAATAGGTCCTGTCAGCCTTACGTAGAAGAGTTCAAGCACCCAAAGTAGCAATACATAAGTCTTCATTACCTTCCCAATCACTTTGGTGCTGGTCACTTTCAAGTAATTCTGTTGAATTTCCCTTCTTTTCTGGAGTTGCAGGAAGACATGCTTCATTTTCCAGCTGTTCCACCTAATAAGGTGCAGTAAGATCTTTTAATTACAGAATAATACACAAAAAATGTATTTTATACACACACATGTTTATGAATACTCAAAATGTAGACACAAAACCCCCGTCCTCAATATACCAACATTGTGGCTAACATACCATTCCAGTTAAGAACCTAGAAATCATCCATGTTTAAAATGTCAAAGGCAGCCCATTGATCTCTCTTGAATCTGAAACATTCTGGGATTGACACATTCTGAGTGCACAAGTATGTTTTTAAGAGATCATCCAAGCTACCTGGTGGCATAGAACAGACCAAGCCAGAGACATTATCATCACTTCTGGTATTTCTGATTGACACTCCACAATTAGCTTTTATCCTTCAGCACCGTAGTTGTACCAGCTGTAGCACAAAGAATATCCAGCAAAGATGCTGTAGGGCCCATGTTTCCAAGAAAACCTCATTCTATATTTCCCTCCCTCCCCCCGCCCTTTCTCAGGGCAGGGTACTTGGAACTCCAGGATAGATTTTCATGCATTATTCTCTGATGGAGAGAGGAACAAGCAGTAGAAAGGCTTTACTCCTTATTCCTGTCACACTCCAGCTCAACACCCTTTTCTATCTGGTGAACTTCATCTTCACAATGTGTTTCCTTGAAGCCAGGATGAGAAGCATCTCATCCTAATTTCCCACATGCAGAGTCATATTCCTTCCCAAAGTCCTTCAGTCTTTCCTTTGACATACAAAGAATTAAGCTAAAGCTAATCTGAAACTGTTTGCAGAAACAGAGTTTGGCTTCTTTAAAACTGAAAACTAGCTTTTCAAATGACACAAATGTTTTAACAGATGAAGTGTAACCTGCAACTTTTTTGGCTAAATATTGAAAAAAACAAAATTGCACTTTTTTTTCAGCTTCCATGATATTGAAGTTTTCTGAGTCTTTTTTGGTTGGTTGTTTGGTGGAAAATAGGTGGTTTCCCTTCTTCCAGTGGAAGAACAAAAAATCTAAAGGAATGTGGCTAGGAAAGAAAAGAATTAAAAAATATAATAATTAAAATAATAATTTAAAATTCACATCCATTTCCTTCTGCGCAGTGATTCTTTTCCAGAAAACACTTACCTGGGTGGGTTGCTGATTCTTGTTGGTAAAGCCTTTCTGTTTCCGGGGGTTTATGGCAATCCTGTGCCTGGCTGCTGAGGTGTCCAGGCAGCCAAGGGGACTGGCAGGGAAGGTGAAGTCAATGGGAAGGAAGCTGCTGCCTCGTGAGCTGGGCGCCCCCAGAGTGGTAGAGGTTGAAGGACTGATGGGCCTGGAGGAAGCTCCAGAAGGTATCTGCAAAACACAAACGCGTCAATATAAATTTTGCTTGGCTTCCCCACATCTCTGAAATCATTCCTTTGCTAGCTCATTCCATTTCAGAAGCCTGAAATGGCTGTATTTTTGGATGCAATCCTCACTTTAAAATGCATGCCTGATGTCATCTCTGCATCGAGATCTGCATAGAGATCACTCACACTGTGTGTTCAGATGTATGTTACACAAAAGGGAGAAATACCTGTCTCTCCCTGTCCCACAGTTGAGAGCCTCAGCTTGTGCCCTTCCCAGTTCTTATCAGAAAAACCATTTGCAATCTATATATGCACCAGCAGGAGACACTGGTGCAGTTTGTATAGCTGCCTTTTCATTCCAATTATGTGACACATTGTAGGAATACGTTATTAAAAAGCCACAAAAGTAGCATGGATGCTTGCTCCTCATTCTTCTGTTTCTAAGAAAGTTGTCATAGCCACTTTGCTCTTTTAATATCCACTTGCCCAGGAAAATCAAGTGCTTCTCTCCAACAAGTATCCCAGAAGCATCTTCCAGATAGTGATGTGGATCTCACCCTCGCAGCAATGCTGCTCTGGGGAACTAAACAGCAGTAATCTTAGATTATGCTATCAAAATAAAAGGTTTACAGAAGTGTTTGTAGAGAAACCCCTAAATATGCAGCTTGACTGGTTTTGTTACTCTCTTGAAATGTAGACCAGATTTTCTGGAATACTTGCAAAATTTCATAGCCATGCCAAACAAGCTTCAGTCAGTATAACATACCTGCTATTTTGGCTTTGGCCATAAAGTTAGGTGAAACACAGCCATTTAACTGTGCTTGGTATGCAGATTTTAGGGTTTTTTTAAGCTTAGGACATAATACACCATTTAAAACATGTATGCTGGTGAAGTTTTAAAGATAATGAAAGCATCTTCCCATCTGATCTACAAAAATTGTCTAGGTACATTGCTTTGCATTTAAGGTAGCTAAAATTAATTTCTTCATTCTCCATTGATTTTTTTTAGTTCCTAGTTCTGAAATAAACCACAACAGAATGTATTATGACAGATACAGACTCTTCTCATGAAAAATTTACACACTGTGAAAGAGAGAAAGAAGAACCCAGCTAACAAATAAGCAAACTATTGTTATAATGCTACAAGATTAATGATAAACCTGTAAAGATCCCTAGAACTTCCAAAATAGTAACAGGGTTACTAATTTCTACATAAAAATTCTTCTGCCTTTTAAATATAAAGTTACAGTTGTGCTTATTTAATATAAAAACATCTGAAGCTAGTATCTGAGCTACTGCTGTAAATAAATGGCAAATTCCCTACTCCAATGAGGATTACGGATATTTTTTTCCTCTGAGCACTGACAGTTGATATCTTCTCTGAAAGACTAGAACAGACACAAGATTTCCACATCAGTGTTTAAGTGTAAGATAAATTTGGTATTTGTTGGTTATTGGGAAGTTGCAGGAGCCTGCACAAGGAGAATGCTGCAGCTATTGGCTAGGAGGCCATTTCCTAAAGAGTGTTTGTGCCAAAACTCTGTCCTCAGCCCCACAAGCTGAGACCCTGTTTTGCTTTTAATCAGTCTGGGTTGAAGATGCCAACAAGGAAGTTAGATTTCGGTAAAGGCTATCTGGCAAAGGCAGGGTAACGCTGGTTAATGTCTCTGTGAAGTCACTTGCTGCTCATTTTGAGTGATAGCCTCACATTTAGCTTTAGATTTGTCAGAAAGTGGGTATTTATAAATGTGGAAGGCACTGAGAAGTTACATGGGTGACACATCAGGGTTTCACACAGAGATGACAGCGGCATGAAGCTCTTGGAAAACCCAGTGAAGCAGCATAAGGCAAAGAAATGAAGTAATTCATCTGCAGCAAGATCAATACAATAGTAAAATGTAAACCACTACACCGAGTGTAACTTCAGATTGCTTAGGATTGAATGCTCTTTTGCCTTTACTAAATATACAACATTGTTAAATGGAATAACTGGGGCAGATTTCTTGATGCTTTTCACAATTTTTCTCATCTTTGGGGTGAGGTTATTCAGTTTAACAACTTGTGTTCTGCTAGCTCAAATCCTGGTATTACATTAACCATTTCAAAAGCCACTGAAAAAAATTATGATTATTTAGGAAAAAGTTTTTTTATTTTAGATAAACATATTGGCAAGATTTCTGCTAATCCAAACTGCTGACTAAGAAAAATATTTGGGTAAAGGAACATACACGGTACTGTAGAGAAGCTAGCCAGATTCCCAGTGAGTTAGGGAGAAAAAGGAAGAGCCTTTTAGTGGGGAATTCTGTGCAACATAGAAGAGAGAAAAAAATTTCTCCTGTGTCTGTCTTTCTTTCTCATAGGAGATGAGGCTGCAAGATTGAAAGAGCTCAAAGACTTGAGAACTGGATATAAAAGGCCTTTTTGCATTGTAAGGAAAAAACAGTATGCAGGCTTACAAAATGGAGCACTTCAGTCCAAATAGATAATGGGAGATGAGTTAATAAAATTTACATTGAAGTAATGATAAAATATACACAAGAAGTTATTAAAAATAACAACCATCCAAGTTACCTAGATTACTTGGGTCTCTAGAGTTGTGAGACTATTAGTCTATTATGAGGGGGAGACACTGCTTTATCTTTCTAGCCCTAAAGTAAAAAGTCTAGGAATGACTGAGCAGAGGAGTGTCTGATCTCAACAACAGACTGGACAGTTGAGCTGGTCTTGTCCAAAGGTTGCTCTCTCCCTTCTCAAAGGCTGGCAAAAGGGAGAGGGAAAAGGAAAGCTTCCTTAGCAGTGGGGTGGGCACTAACTGTTTGACCCTCAAGATGCTGCCCAGCTGCTTAAGGCCCTCTTCATCAGGAAGGAATCTTCTAAGTACCCTGCTACCTCCCCTTTACTTGTGGGCTATTCTTAGTTTCACAAGGGGTTAAACACTGTCCTCTCTGGTGAGCTTCTCAAACCGGGATTCTGTATGGAGGACTGCAAAGCTTGGGCAAAAATGGCCCATAGCTATTCTGGACCCATAAATATTCCCCTTCTCAGCTAGATGGCAGATTACTTCACTTATACAATTGCAAGAGCTATCCCATTAATTAAATCAGCTCTGTTGGAGTGGTGGTTGCCTTTCTCACTGGCATTTAAAGACCTCATTGGCACAACTCTGGTCTGACTGGTCTTTCTGACATTACATTAACACTGGAGAAAGGCATTATAAGCAGTATAAGACCTTACAGGCCTGTCTTGAAAGCGTGAGATGGGCAGGAACTCACCTCAGCTTCAAGCAGCAGGGACAGTCAAGGTGAAGGTCCCCTAGACTCCTCTCCAAAAATACGACCTCTAAATTTTTCTGACCTGGTCAAGGAATAGACTGGTCTGACAGCAGAACCTGCTGCTTCTGATGGTTACTTATCATCCAAAGAAAATTGGACCTTTTCTTGTGGAATACCTGGCGTCACAAAGTCCAATTCTGCAATTATTTCCCATCATAAGAGAGAAGCAGGGGATTGCTCACAAGCCACTGCTGATGGGCAGGTGTTATTAAGCTATTACTGCTGTTGGGTATTGGGGCCCTGGGACATGGAAGCAGAATTGAAGTGCTTTGCCTTGTCCAATTTTCTGTTGTGTAACTTTACAGATTCATACTGTGTCACAGAGCTGACTATGTTGTTCACACAAACCGCGTACCAATAGATTTCTGCCTCTCTTTATTTGGTTCTTATTCAAAACTCTGAGAGAGGTACATTTTCAGTATAATTTGCATCACTCTGGACTGTTTATGAATTGTTTGCTAGGATACACTCTACCCAGAATAGATTAAAAATAAATAAATTATTGTACTGGCTCCATACAGACACCACACATGCTGCCTCAGGAAAGTTTATTAGCAGGAAAAGTAGCTATTTACCTGTTCATCTTCACTGTCAGTCCCGCCTAAACTCAAAGAGCTATGACGCTGAACAGGGTTGGAAGACTGTGGGACAAAATAAGGAAGAGGGTAAGTCAAGGGAAGTATCACATTGAATTATCTGGGACTGGATATCCAGTGCTAATTATAAGAAAACACAAGAGGAAAGATAAAGGAAGGGTCACTGAGTCCCTGCCTCACAGACTAGGTTTCATTTGTTAATTGGGGATACAACATAAAGTAGGGGAGCTTTATCCTGCTGTGAGATATGCCATGAAGGCTGATCGCAAGAGGCAATACATTTTATAAAGTTAATTTGGCTTATTGTTTTAAGATCTTCAAATTCACAAATGCTCACTCAAGTCCAAAATCATGTATCTGCTGTGAGAAGGCAATTCCTAAGAAAGAAGATAACCCAACCTCCCTCTGAGTCTCATCAGGACCTGTTCTCCTCAGACTCATAGGATTGTCACTTTCCTGTCAATTCAAATTATATTGCCCTGGTTTCGAGCTATTTCATTCCAAACCCAGTAATTGTTTAAGATTCTCTTGCAGTCCCCATTATTTTTGTTTTCTTCACTAGCTTTAAAACACCCAAAAACTCTCCCCCTTTCACTGGTGTAGAAAACTGGCGATCTGTGCAGCTCTTTGAAGCAGGAAGACATGGCAAGTTTGTTTGTGGAGTGTGAATACCTCAGCTTGTTCTTGGGCTGGAACAGTCACAGTAACACAACACTCACCCATGAATAACTGACTTTTTATGCTTTCTGGCATATGGACCTTCCAGTAGAGACTGCCTCACCCAAAGGCACTGAGACTTGTCATATCAACTGAATTTCTCTCCTCTTTCCTTAATGATACAGGTAAAAATTGCCCCAGCACTGGTCTACATAAAAGCATAGAAAATCGTACTCAGAAGGGGTTTCTGTAAGGCTACTTCCTAGGTATCCCTCACAGTGACAAGCCCAAAATCCACCTAGGTAATTTGTTCTAGTTCTGACTGATCTGTACTATCAGATTTTATCCCAAGCAAGCAAAAAGGTCTTTCCCTTCTCCAAGCAGATTTTATCTTTTCTGTACAGGTGGTCACTAAAGTGGCATAATGATTATACCTTGCTTGGTGAATCTGTCAGAACTTCATGAAGAGTTGACATTTCAGGAGGGCTTCTAGGTAAACCATCATCTTCAGAAATAGCACCTGCATCTTCCAGTTTCTTTCCAGTTATAACAAGAGAAGGCGATCCAAGTCTGATGTTCTGCTGCAACTGAAGCTGTGGTTGGAAAAAAAAATTTGGAATATAGACTTTCGATGGTATTATTTATAGGGAACATTTTGGACACTGTTACCCCAGTTGCTCCCATTAGCATGCAAAATCTCTTAGTTAACAAAAATACTTGAAGAAACAGACCACTTACAGAAAATAGCCATTAATAAAATTTTATTTAGTTACATTCATCAAAGACCCATCATTAGAACTGGCTTTGGTAAAAAAATTCAAATCTAAATAAGTTTTATTCAGTAAGTTATCAAAGACAGAAATTTCACCATTCCAGAAAATTTACAGCAGTTTAACTCAGTTTAAATTTAAAACTTTAAAAATTCTAGATTTAATTATTCTTTAAATAATTCCATGTATCAGGATGTCCCAAATAGTCACACAAAGTATTGTCAGTCAGCCGTTCCCAACCCCAGGTTTATGTAGTCAGCTTTCCATCACAAAGCCCTTCCAAACATTGAGAACTTGTCACAACCCTCTCCCACACAAGTAGCTGAGTTCCACTTTTTATACAATCATAGAATCATAGAATGCTTAGAGTTGGAAGGGACATTAAAGACCATCTAGTTTCAACCCTCTGCAATGGGCAGGGACACCTTCCACTAGACCAGGTTCCTCAAAGCACCATCCAACCTGCCCTTGAAGACAGTTTAATTCAACAGAATACAAATAATAACACAAACATGATTTAATTCAATTTCTGGTTCACGCTAGTGAATTGCGTGTTAATTTTCCCCAGCATTGCATCCTGGTCCTGTCTACAGCAAGAATGACAAGTGCAGCCAGGAACAACTTTCTTTGTAAAGGAGCATGGGGATTCTCTTCCAAAATTGCACAAAAGAATGCTCTGGCAGGCCCTGACTCTAGAAAAATAAAACAAAGTCTGCAACCTCACAAGCAGCCAGATGTTCCCTCAAACTAAAAAAGTTCAGAACTCAGGAAACACCATTACTGAAATTCTTGGCTTAAGCCTGGCAGCTATGTCAAAGCTGGAATAGAAACAAGGTCTGAAAAGAAACTTTGTCCTTCAACTAAAAACGTCTCAACTGAATATTCCCAAGATAAATATGCAGACCTTTTTTTTCTGTTTCTTTGCTTATGAAACCAGATTGGGAAATTCTAGGCCTAATTCTGTGCTCTTCTGCAGGCTATGCATTCATGTATATCTCTGTAAAATAGATCTAAATAGCTGCCATTCTTATTCAGGAAGATTCACTTGGAGTGTAATTCCTATAGATCTAACAGCCATGCAGGGTAGCACAATGTCACTCTTTAATCCACCAGTCCCCCAGATCAAACAGCTTTCTTGCCCTCTAACCCACAACAATGAAAGAAGTATCACCAATACAATCTGCAAAAGCAGGACTGACGACAAACCGCACAAAGATTGCGATATATGGTCAAAACAAGACATACAACATAGTTGTGCACTTCACGGGAAGAAAAATACAGAAAGTCAATTTTGCTTTTCTCTCTTTTCACAACTTCCTATCTTTGATTTATTAAATTTATTACATGCAGACAGCAAAGTGTTGTGGGGGAAACGCTGAATTTACAGTCTGTCTTCTACTGGTAAAAGCTAATTTACATTGCTAAGAAAACAATAGCTTCTATTAGTGCTTGGCTTTTATTCTGACAAGAGTCAAGCTCACAGAAAAAGGCTGTATTTACAGCTATAAAAATAGTGCTGGCATTATTATGTTACCATGCAGGATGACGGATGGATGAAGAGAGGGCACAGTGGACTGGAGATAGCATGAAAAGAGCTTTTTTTTCCCCAACAAAGTTCTGTCATATATAAACATAGTTTCTCCTGCTACTCCTATTGTTATACAAAAAATACCCTGAATTGAAGCTTAGCTTATTTTGCAGGCTTATGGAGGCACAAATCCCTCTGTGCATCTTCTGTTACTTAATATGTGATGCAATTGTGTTTTGCAACATGAAGCTCACACTGAGCAAAGGAAGAATTTCAATGGCCTTTGGCTGCCTTATCAACAGTTTGTTTTCAGTCTCTGGAAAAACTTTAAACTTTTATCTCAGTGCTGTGAGCTATGTAGTTATTTAAATGCAATTAATATAACCAACAGTTGATAGGGGAGCTGTCAAGGAGGGTTCAGTATGTGCCTTGGAAGAAGGAAATGACCTAGCAGAATACAGTATGTTTTGCTGGCAGAGATCGGAAG